AAGGCCATCGGTATATTTTGACTCTTGTGGATTTCGCCACTCGCTACCCTGATGCAGTGCCTTTGACAGCAATTGACTCAGCTACAGTGGCCGAGGGACTTGTCGAGATGTTTTCTCGCATTGGTTTTCCACGAGAAGTCTTGGCTGATCAGGCATCGTGCTTTACCTCAGATCTAATGAAGGAGGTGAATGAACTACTGGCAGTCAAGCATCTTAGCTGCACTCCATACCATCCTATGTGCAACGGGATGGTAGAGAGGTTTAATGGAACACTCAAGCAAATGCTCCGCAAAATGGTTCAAGAACAGCCTAAATGTTGGGATCGCTTGCTAGCACCTCTTTTGTTTGCTTATCGTGAAGCCCCACAAGCAAGCTCCGGGTTCTCACCATTTGAACTTATTTATGGCCGACATATTCGAGGACCTCTGAGCATCCTGAAAGAGCTATGGACTCATGATCAGGAGAACGAAGAACTTAAGACGACGTACGGATATGTCCTGGATTTAAGAGAGCGAATTGAGAAGACACTAGAGCTGGTACGACAAAACCTGAGCCGAGCACAGGTGTCGCAGAAAAGGTATTACGACCGCCACAGCAAGCAACGGGACCTGAAAGCTGGTGACCGTGCATTGATCTTGCTTCCCACAAGCAACAACAAGTTATTGATGCATTGGAAAGGGCCGTTTCCAGTCATAGAAAAGAAAAACGACTATGACTACTGGCTGGACCTTGGACACAGAAAAAAACTTTTCCACATAAACATGCTGAAAAAGTATGAAGAACGCCGTGAAGAACAGCTTCCTCAGACATCATCTTTTGTCGTTCTGGAGGAAGAGGAGTCTGAGAAACCACTACCAACTTTCAAAGTACAGGGTAGCTGCGGTATTGACTCCATAAAGCTTGGAGATGAAATCGGGGAGCGACAGCGGGTGGAGATACGGGCCATCTTAAGTACCTACGAAGACGTATTCTCGGAGATCCCAGGTAAAACAAACCTTGTGGAGTGTCGGTTACAAACGACCAGTTCAGAACCAGTTAACACCCCACAATACCCATTGCCATTCTCTATGAAGGAAGTCGTTGAAAAGGAAGTGCAAGACATGTTGCAACTTGGCATTATAGAACCCTCAGAGTCACCATATAATTCTCCTTTGGTACTAGTCAAAAAGCCAGACAATGGCTACAGGGCCTGTATAGACTTTCGCCGTATAAACAATGTTCTGGTATCTGATGCAGAACCTATACCCAGAACTGATCACTTGTTTGCCGAAGTGGGAACAAAGAAATGGTTCTCGAAGTTTGATTTAACTAAAGGATATTGGCAGGTTCCTCTCGCAAAAGACTCGCAGCAAAAGACCGCCTTTTCAAGCCAGTCAGGGCATTATCATTTCCTGTATATGCCTTTTGGCATCAAGACCGCATCCGCGGTCTTCACTCGTCTGATGAGAAAGTTATTGCTTGGAATACCCAACGTCGTTCATTACATAGACGACGTACTGGTGGCTACCACTACGTGGGAAGAACATCTAACAACTTTGAAGCAATTTTTTGCCAGGATACGACAAGCCGGACTAAGGATCAAGCCACAGAAATGTGAAGTGGCTATGAGCACAGTCACCTTTTTGGGACATCGATTGGGAGATGGCAACATACGGCCAGTCGAAAGCACGATACAGAAGATCACCTGTGCTTCTAAGCCTGAAACAAAGAAGCAACTCCGGTCATTCCTTGGACTGGCTGGCTATTACCGTGACCTGATACCTCGGTACGCCGAGAAAGCACAGCCGCTCACTGAGATGACGAGGAAGATGGAGAAAAACAAGATTACGTGGACCACGGATAGAGAAGAAGCGTTTGAATCACTCAAAAAGGCTTTGTCTTCTGGGCCAATCGTCAAAGCACCCGATCTGAAAAGAGAATTCGTGCTTCGGTCTGACGCCTCTGATTCTTGTATAGGCGCTATCCTTATGCAAGAGCATGATGGCATCCTCCACCCTGTGTCATATGCCAGTCGTCAACTTCAGCCTCGCGAAAAGAGATACTCAGCAATCGAGAGGGAATGCTTAGCGTTGGTCTGGGCGATAGAAAAGTATCATGTTTTTCTGTACGGAACGTCATTTGTCGTACAGACCGATCACCAACCACTGCAGTATCTCTTAAGGGCAAAACACCTGAACAGTAGGGTATTACGGTGGAGCCTCGCGTTACAAGAATATTCATTCCGAGTCGAGCACATTAGAGGCTCTGAAAATGTCGGCGCAGATTATATGAGCCGGTTGTGAATTTTTACGTTTTCTCGAGACAAGCGACTACTTCAAGTTGTTTGTTTGTTAAGGACATCTTGTGAATGGACGACGCGTGGTGACTTCTCGCGCACTAAACTGCAGTTTATTTTTCTTCGCAAAAGAAACTTTTCAAAGGGGGGACTCTTGTTGTGAGTGAAGTGCGCGAGTCAAGTGACTTTCAAATTTGGCGCGTAAGATGAACTACTGACAATGTGTGCAAGATGGCGTATTGCGCCAGTGCGGCGAACACTGGCGATTGGAAAAAGAAGAAAATTCAAGGAAATGGGAGAAAATCCAGAGCCAGGGCATCGAAGAACGAGGAAGAGGAGATTCGGGCTCGTGCTTGGAAGAAGAAGGCTAGGGTGCGGCGTGCGACCTCGTCGGGTGCGAGTACCTCCTGGGCGTCAGGGCATCCACCTAGCTGGCGACTGTTTCCACGGGGTCCTGGTGACCATTCAACCGCAGCGGCTATTGGCGAATCCTTGGCAAGACCTTGGTCTGATGTTCGAGCGGAAGACAGCGCAGCAGATGACGTCTACCGGGAGCGGGAGCAAGCCGTCGGGCTACGGGCCCGAGCTTATGCACTCTCATCACGGCAGCTTCCCCAATGGACTATTGAAGGGCGTGAACCGCTGGTGAGCCGTATCCGTCTTCTCTCGCGTCCGGACTCAAACACGAGGACTTTAACGAAAAGGACTGTTTAGGCTCTTAGAGGTTTCCGCTCGCTAACGAAACTGACAGTGCTAATTAGTTAACATTTTTCTGATCTTAGTATTTTCCTTTTTGTGGTTTTTTTTTGTGTGTTTGTGAAAGTACAATTTTTTTTTACAAATCAAACGCTCACTTCCTTTTCTCGTGAGAGAATAACGTTTCACAGCTAGCTCGACTGGCTTTATTTACTGAACCTGTCACACCTGCCTTTACCCCTCTTGCTCTCTGGTTCTAGAAGTTCTGTGTACCGAACCTGTAGTGTGGCGCTTGTCTTGGAGGCGCCGCAAAACAATGACAAGTATACCATTGACGTCCGAACGTGTGTACGTATACACACGTTAGTCTCTGACGCACGGCGGTCAATCGGTGCGCCGCCACGCATAGCGCACGATGCACTTTGGCGGTTCGAATTCGACGCAGCCAGGACCACTTGAAGTAGGAAAGGGGCGGAATCTCTGAGATGCGAAGTGGAAGCCGAAGCTTCTTGCTTGCTCCTTCTTTCATGTACGGTGCGTGTTCTCAACACAAACAGCTACAATGCTGCCGTCTTGCGAGTGCGTTTGAGTCGTTCCTCGAGCGCCATGTCGCTGCCTTTGCTATCTCATCTCACAGACAAGTGTGACGGCCGACTGACTTGTAGAGTGCTCACCTTTTCTACTACTCGCTAGGCAGCGTGAACGGGTGTACTCGGGGCATTGTCTCTTATCTCTGATCATCACAGGCGGAAACTGAAAGAGCAAGCAGAACCGAGGAAGCTTTCGTGTCGAATGCGTCATTCAGTTGTACTTGATTTTGGTCTCGCACGACACGGTACACGGACGAGCAGGGTTTTGAAGTATAGCGTTCCCATCGCGTCGCTTGCTGTAGAAAGGCGAGGGACGAGTTATATGGCATTGGGACCACGTTCCGGGCACTGTATAAAACTGGGACGAAGCATCGTGTAAAAGGTTGATTGTCAAGAAATGGTGAACGCTTTATATATCAAGCAATAAGACTGAGGATATATGAGTGGGGAAGCGCTGCTGTTCCTCTGCTGAACGATTGGTGGCTGCGCTAGAAGGTGCATCCTTTCATTCGTGACATACTTGTCTGCCTCTGTATTCGGTCATTTCAGCGACGCAGGCAGCGCCATGCAGCCGTGCTCCGAAGCTGTCACACGGTGATAATCTGCGACGCAGTTCGGTCTCTCACTAGTCATGAACCGATGAACGCGTCTTCACGCTCTGCGACGCTGACGTGCACGCTCGCGACCTCACCGTCTCGTCCGCCATTTCGACCTACCGTAGCGCCGCCTATAGTCGCTGGAATGGTCGGATAGGTTCGGTACATGCACTGAGCATAATTTTGCAGCACTGTAGTTCCGAATTGCGTGTGTGCTGTGGTGTTGGTGCATGGTAACTGGCCAAACACCTGCGCGTGGCGAACTCTCGTTGCGGTGCAGAACAAAATGTCCTATTTCCTTGAAGGCGTAGCACAAGCGTTCTCCGTGTTTTGCTCTGTACTCCTAAACTTTGCATTCGCCGTAGTTCACGTGATTTTTTAACCCTCATTCATCCTGTGCCGTTTCGTATCCTTCAGAACTACTTGCTCTCTGCATTTTGACGCTTATAAACATTGAGTAACAGTACTAAAATACCAGATTTCAAGCTCTGATGTGGATGTCCCAGCAAACGTGTTCATAAGGCTGTTGCTGCAATGTCTCGTGGTACAGATTCAAACGAACAAACTATGCCTGCGGCTTTGCATGAGTTAAGCCTGTTCAAAAAAAAAAACAACCGAATATTCGGCGGCTGTGAATTCCCGTCCTGGCGTTTGATGGTCCGTTACAATTATACCAGTGCATTCTTTCAGGCAACAAAGCACAGTGGCGTTGAACAAGTTTAAATATATATCAACGACAAAGTATGCTTCACAGGTCGTATGAATTATTGTAACATAACACGATATTCTCATTTTGATGACTGGACTCTAAATTCACTTTCTGTTTCACTCTTGCTGCTGCAGGTCAAGATCTGGTTCCAAAACAGGCGCTCCAAATACAAGAAAATGCTCAAGGCCCAGCAGCAGGGCGGCACTGGAGGCGGTGGCGGAGGAGGTGGTGGAGGAGGCGGCGGCACGCCCACCACGCCAGGCAGCGTGGGCACGCCTCAGCCCCAGAACCAGGGTCCACACACTCCGAACCCGCCCGGTACTCCGGGCCCACCGTCGCTGGGGCCGCCGAACTCCGCGGGCACCCCACAGTCCCCCAGCGAACCGTCGCCTGGACCTCAGAGCCCTCCCACGAGTCACCATCATCACCATTCCCAGCACCAGCAGCCGCCGTCGCTGCCACCGCATCACCCTGCGCATCCGCATCACCCTCATCACCTGCCTCACGGAGCGAGCCTCACCCCGCCCGCCATGTCTCCACCGCTCGGCACTTGGGAGATGTCGCCAGCGGCGGCCAAGGCTGTCGCCATGTCCAGCTACATGCCTCAGTACACGTGGTATCACCAGACGGACCCTTCCATGAACCAACAAATCCTTACTTAGCGTCGTTCTTTCGCCGTCATGGACGTGTTGTTTGCCGGATTTTTTTTTTCCTTTCTCCCGCTTTCGTGTGCGTGTGTCTGCGTGACTGTGTATGTGTAACGGTGCGCATGCGCGACCGGTTGCGTGGGAACACTGCACCAACTGGCTTGTGCGCACCTTCTTCTTCGGTGGGTGAGGACACCGTGCGGGAAAGAATTGTGTGCGCCGACGCTCCCCGCCCTGCAACGCTGGCTTTACTTGTGGCGCAAGTCGCCACGATGCCTGTGTGTCATGGCCGGTAGCAGTGTATACTTAAGGCAGCCTTCGGTTGGTTGTTATTCTTCAAGCCAGACTTTGAATGGACCCTTAGGCGCGCGTGATAGAACATATGCTTCTTTAGTGCGGAGGAATATGAAGTCAAAAAATTTAGAAAAAAAGGAGCGTGGACGCGCGAACAGTCATTACACGCAGAAACTGTCGCTGTGATGCCCAAGTTGAGGTGCCTGTAGAGTAAAAATAAATGGAACGTAATGTCTGTACCTTGAGACGCCCGTATCACCCAAACGGATGACGCAAAGCAGATAATTTGTATTTGGCGAGCAGCGAGGGGTCAGTCTGCGGTTTCAAACTGCCCTGCGTCCACTACTTGTAGGCTTGCTCTTGCTCATTGTTTGCTCATAACTCTCTCAACAGCATCTATTCTTTTCCATGGGCACACAATGGCTCCCCTCGACTATTGCATACCTTTAAGGTCTCCATATAAGCGCCAGCACAGGAATAACACGAGTTCATTGTTCGGCTGATTGATTCGGTTGAAGAAGCCCAGTATGAAGTTATATCATGCCATTGAAAAACCATGCACTGTTACGGCTAAAGTAGTATATACCATTGCCCACTGCCTTGACAAGACTGGCTGCACAGGACTAGCTCGATAGTTACGTCCTCGAGAGGACTTGTAACTTCGACTGCGGAAGCGTGCGATTGTGTGCGTGTTCCTGTTTGCTTGTGGCGTTGTGTGTGAAGACTCGCGTGTTTGGCTTTTGAAAATTGTACACTGAACTACGACTGTGCCGGCGCGTGGCTGGGATTATCGCACGAACGTTGAATTGCCGTTGTGTGTTGTGTGGACTGTTTTACTTTAGGTGCAGAAAACATTTCAACAATTGGAAGTCCGTACGCGCGCGAACAATGCTGGATAGTATATTGAAGCAAAAATAACTGTGCAACAGGGTTGCCGTCGCTGTACGCTTTATGTGGTCTCTCTTTCTAAGCCACGCGTACCGTTTCTTTTCACGTCGGCATCGCGTCACTCTGGCAGTCATCTGTGCGCAGCTTTAGAAGTAGGCTTTGTTGTGCCCAGTTTCGCAGCATACATCTAATTAATATCCCGTGGAACCACTGCACACATGGTTCTGCAATCGCTGATGGTTGGTCTGTGTTGGCTAGGAATGGAAGCGTGCACAACGAGCTTCGTGTTGTTGGCACTCAAGGCCATTTGAAACCTAAGCCTAAATAAAGGAAGCCAGCGCTTATTGAACGCTTTACACGAGTGGAGTTCAGAAAGCAACATTGTTTTTCGGGTGCAGCAGACTGCAGACAGGACAGAACGCTTGTTAGCATATTTTCCATGCACCAAAGTGAGCTTTAAAATCAGACTGCACCATTGTTTGTGCGCTTGCACATTTTACCTGCTCAATCGTATCTACTCTGTTGCAATATTCTATTTAAATGATTGGATATCTCCTGTACAAGCAGCATTAGGTTCAATATTAGTCCCTTTTGACGTCAACCCTGTTGCACATAACTTTGTTTTATCGATGGATTGAATACTATGACCGCAGTGAGGTTTGTAAGTCTGAAAATCTAAGTCTCACAATGGTTTGTCCTGCTTTTGACTGGTTGCTGGGATTTGGCTCACGGAAGCTACAGATGACGTCACTTGCACCATGTTCTCCAGTGGTTCGCTTTGGGCTCTGCCGGTCTGAATTGGAAATGCCTTGATTTGTTTCCTTTTTTTTTGGTTTGCCCACATAACATGGTTTGCGTGAAGCCTTGTGCGTCAAATTTCTTATGTGATGGTGATTGATATGTGGGGTTTAACGTCCCGAAACCACCATAAGATTATGAGAGACGCTCCTATGTGATGGTGCAAACTCATTTGACCATATCAGTAGCAAAACAATAACAAGAGTTCTGGCATACCCGAGACCAAAATGCAAAAAAAGAAATCTTGTGTTCTCAAGCTATGAGCTACGAGCTACAGTGCTTTATTACGACTTCACCTTGCCTCGGACACACTGCTAATAGGCAAATACAACACAGACGTTCATCAGATATTCACCCCCCCCCCCCCCCTGACTTATCAAGATACGATTATGTTTGCACCGTCTCTTTTAGGTTTCAAATCAGCAAGATGACATCTTACCACATGTCGTGTAAAGGATATTGAAGGGAAATGTCTCGTACAAGCAGTATGATGCTGTTGACGTGCAAAAGAGTATTTAATTTCTGCCGTAGTACTTGAAGGAAAAAAGAAAACTCGAGTGGGATATGTTGACCTTGTGTTATTACTTCTGACCTCACGTATGTCGTGGTCATCCACGCATTGTACATAGATATACAATAGAGTGCCGCGTGGAAGTTCATCTTCGATCTTTGTACATGAAGGTCAGATACGTGCGATTCGTGAATGCAAGCGCCCATCGTGGTTGGTAATCAGTGACATCTGTTTTGTTGGCTGGACTTTTGTGCCTCATATTCAGCCTCGGATCCTTGGCCTAATCCTGTAAGCGGTCGTTGAGCAACTCTAGACCATTTAATTCCTATATATTTCTCACAGATGCCCGGGATTAGTTGATTGATTGATATGTGGGGTTTAACGTCCGAAAACCACCATATGATAATGAGAGACACCGTAGTGGAGGGCTCCGGAAATTTCGACCACCTGGGGTTCTTTAACGTGCACCCAAATCTGAGCACACGGGCCTACGCCCGGGATTAGTTAATGCTATGGGAGCGCTTTAGTACTATTGCTATAAGGCCAGACTAAATTTGTTCTTGACTGAACTTTTACCATCAAGATTTCATTCGAGAATTTCTTTTACGTAACTCTTGTAGAGTGGAATTTACGTAACAGCGCTTCCTGTCTATATGAAGGGTCGATGATGATTTCCGCTTGTAATAAAAGCATATTGGTGTTAGAGGTTACTTAGTTGACTAATAATGTTGTGATGCCTAATGAAACAGGAGGCAGTGTGGGTTCTTTCATTCGGAGCAACTAAATATGACACTGCCAGAAAACGTAGAGCACACTTTTATGGTGAACGTTGATGAATCTGTGCAATCAATGATATGAGAATGATCCATGTTCAGATGACAATAATTACAATAACAATAATTAGGCATGCATAGCCCTGGTAGCCAGATCTATCCATAATACTCGCTTCTGCCAATGCTTAAAAGACATAAACAGAACTGTTGATGGTGTAGAGACAATAGCCTTCAGTCTGCTGAGTCACCAGTCCCTCTGCTGCCCTATTGAATCTTTACAAGGTTTTAAAGTGGCACATAATCAACTACTTCTGCCTGGAAACAAAAAAGAAAAGCTGCCATCCTTGCAAAAGTGTACAGACGTACAATGCGTGACTTCACAAGGGCTCCACTCAAGCTCCACTCAGGAACTTAAATGATAGGTACATGAATTAAGGTAATAAATACCACCAGTGAAGATAATTTCCAACCACCCGTTTGCAGCACGAAGCCTTCAGGAAATTGCTATGTATTGCCCTGAAAGGAAACATTTCGGTCGCTGAAATATTCCTCTGTACCGGAGATAGAACTCAGCATTAACGTTTATCGGGGTGGTCGCTCTACCGATTAAGCTAACCAGAATGCTATAGCAGTCAGAGGCGCGAGTGCAAGTTCGTCAACAACTTCGTTAACCTTTGGGCATACTGCAAAACTGATTTGTGAAGTACCGCCCATCTGCATGGATAGGTCAAGGATTGAAGACTGCTATTGACCAGAAAGACAACCATATGTGCAAGTGTACTGGCCAACGTTGTCACCGAGTCTCTATGCCACGGGTGCTTGATTCACGTAGGATGTGTCTGAGTGCTCGTGTGAATGGGTGTGCGTGTGCTGGGCTGGTGCGGTGCGTGTTCTGTGAAGGTATACATACGATGCGCCGCAGATGGCTTGTTGGGCCAATGTCGCCGTTGGGGCTGCCAGCCTTTGTATATTATTTTGGGAAGAGAGAGAGAAAAAAAATCATGAACTGTGTCGAAGAGAGTGATATAAGAGAAAAAGAAATAAATGTCGCTCAGTTGTACATAAACCTTCACTACTGGAGTCACTCGTCTCTTTACTTTGTTCGTGTATAGTCACTCCGGACAATCTGCGCCCTGGGATTCTGAAGCACCACTTCTAAATGCCACGGTGCGCAAGGTAAGGACGGTTGACGTTCTTTGTTACTCCGTTTGTTCCATGTGCTACAATCTGAATAAGTTATTGAAGATGGCAGGTTGATATGGCGTCGTTCTTTTTGCTACGCTATGATGAAACACCAGGACAGAAAGAACCACACATTCATCCTGCCTTGCCATTTTGTCTTGGTGTTTCAGCATAGCGCAGCAAATAATAATTATGCTACAAGCACTTTGGTTGACCTACGAGGCTTCATTTCTCAAAGCGACCGAGGCTACGAAAGAAGCCGTAGTAGATGACTCTGGGTGATTTTGGAAACGTGGAGCTCTTAGGAGTACTTACACAAACATAATCAGTTCTTTTACGTTCTCAGGAGTATATTCCTCAGGAGTATAGAAAAACACACTGGTTAGCATGTGTGCACCAGGAACAATTAATTGAAACATAATGTTTCAAAGCTATTATTGGTTCTTACTGTACCCTGATGTCAAGACACGGTATATGTGAGCTCCTCGTCCCGTACTTGCACAAGGTGCCATGATGTTTCCACGGCCGATCTACTGCGTACCTTGGTACCAGCGGCCATTTCAAATCTGTTTCGTGGCGATCAAGCAGCCTTTTCGTACGTATTTTGCAGCTGAAGCTCAAAAAAGGTAGACAGCGGATGAACGGGACAACGAGGACAAGCGCTAAATTTGAACTATACTATTATTATAACGCACAAAGCACACATACCTGTTACACGACATCATAATCACAAAGAGTGATAATACAAGCTAAAACTACGTATAAAAACGCTTACCAATGAATTTGAGTACTCTAGTTCTTTTTTGTTATCTCGATGGACGGCTTGCTGACGCTGCTTAGATTTGCCGTCAACGCCGCCTGGATAACGAGCCTAGTAGTATCATTATCATGTGTAGCCAACACTGTCATTTCGTCAAATCACGGCATGTATTTGCATTCAGCGCAATAAGTCGCCAGGAAAACATCAGATCCTTTTTTTACCTTTTGGTTGAGTTCAACCAAAAAGATTTTACGCTTCAGCTGTGAAATATTTAATGCCGACTAGCCCGCTCCCACACCCTACTTCGTTTTGTACGCTTTGGTACGTGACGTTAACTAGATTAGTGAAACTGCCACGTAAAGTCACGCGAATTGACTCA